CATTCCCAGCAGGCAATGGTCTCTCACCCTGGCATTGGAACCAGTGTGGGCTGCATGTCATTCCCAGCTGTATTGGGGGTCCTCCTCAACTAGGACTCTAGTCCTCACCACTCTGAGCCTGAGAGTTTTGAGCCTCAAGACCCTGGCTGGCCTAAGGCACAGCAGTTTGGAAGGGAAGGACAACTTTGTAGGCTTTGGAGAGGAGACAGATCTCTTCACTGATGACTGGGGCTTCCAGGGCCCTTGGCCACAGAAGGGTCCTCCAGATCCTTTATTTGCAGCATGCCTGGATATTCAGCTCCAGGGCCCAGCCTCTTCCCCTGCCAGGCAGGGGCCTGTTCACACATCCCCATACCCACTGCCTCTACTGGGTGGGCAGCCAGCTCCACTGCAGCCCTGCCTCTGGAGGGAAGAGAAGAGGTTGGGCCCATAAGGACAATCAGCCTCATACTCTCCCTTCCCCTTGAAGCCTGGTCCAGAGCCAAGGATCAGCCCCTCACCCACCCCAGAGAGCAAGGCAAGGATTGGTGGAAAGACCAATAGGTTCAGGGGTCACCATGTATGGTCAGGCCAGAGGTCAAAGATTTGCTGACAGCAGCCTGGGAGGTATCGATCCAGTGGGGGAGGTAACAGAACTCTGTCTCCTGCCAAGGACTATAGGGAGGTGGTCAGCAAGATGGACTCAGCAGAGCCCACCCAGAGCAGGATCCTTTGAGTTAGAGGTTGGAGGCTCCAGAGCCTTTCCCATAGCCTCAGGTCCCCTGACAGCAGGGGACTGACGGTCATACTACAAGTGATTTCAGTGTCACACTCTTGGGCTGATGCTCCAGTGTGCCTGGGCCTGCCTGGCCAGAGGAAAATGGGGACCAGGAGGAGGTGAGCTTTGACAGATTTGAAACAACTGAGGAACTGAGGGGTCAAAGTAGGCCTCTGCCTGCAGCAGAGACTGAGGACAGGCTGGTGGTTCTCTAGGAGGGCTGCAGGCTGAGGGCAGGGCTGGCCTCCTGGGGGAGAGGCACATAGCTGCACTGAAGCTCAATGGCTCTCCCAGTCTGAGCTCCAGGGATGACCTCGAGTCACCCCAACACCTGAGAGTGACCATAGCACCCACCTTGGCTCTTGGTGCGGCTTGTTTCCACGGGATGCAGAAGCAATTCCAGCTCTCCCACCCTAGAAAGCTTTGGTGGGGGATCTGTCCCTGCCTCAGCTCAGAGCAGCATGGCCGGATGCTCCAGCTGTCCCATACTCCTCCCACACATATACACCTACCAGTCCAGGCAGGGGAGAAGCTGGCCCAAAGGGGAGGAGCTGCCAATACTGAAGGAAGAAGCCCCTCCCTCAACTGAGCTCACTCAGACAGACTGGTCTCAAAGGTGTTTCTCCATCCATTCTTGACCCTGCCTGGGGAGAGAGTGGAGCGTGTGTACAAGTGAATGTGTACACACACGTATTTTGAGCATGATTGTGTGTACATTTGCACTGTGTACGTCCAAGCACTGGTTGGTACATGTTATTTGATGTATACATGTTTCTATCTGTGCACATCAAACATATGTGTGATCATGTTTGCATACCTGTGTGTTCATATGTACACACGTGTGTGTTTATGTGCATGTGTGGGTGCACATGTGTGTTTGCATGTATTGGCATGTATTTGGCTCGGACTGAAGCTGGACTGGCCCCCTTCCAGGCACTGACTGGAGAGACACTGCAGCTGTCCCTTGGAATGGTTTGGCCTAGTCTTAGCCAGAAACCCTCACCAGTCCCTGTGGCCCTGGCCCTGGCAACTGTCCTGGAGCTGAGGGCTTTGACTGATGCTGGCCAGCTGGCAGCATGGCCAGAGGGCAGCTCTGTCCACTGGGAGGACATGTGGTGGCCTCTGGCTCAAAGCAGACCCAGGCTGGAGGTCACTGGCACTGAGGCAGAGGCACGTGGACCCATTAGGGTCTGGAGCACTCCAGACTGGGGCCTGGCTGAGACTTCCTCCTAACAGCGACCCCTATTGGGAATGTCAGGTACTGCAGACCGACTCTACTAGCCCTTATGAAAGCCACTCCCTTCACGGGAATGTGGCTCCTCTACAAGGAGCAGGGGCTTCAGCTTGACCTGTGGTTTCCAAATTGTGCTCCAAAGAACCTCTGCGATTCCTTCAGATCCTTCCAAGGGCTTTCCAAAATTGAGGTTTATGGCTCCCCATCACCCTCCTCAAAAAAGGGCAAGGGTTTTATGAATGAGGCTTTTTGAAGACATTTCTCTAAAAATGTTTTGAAATCTCTAGGCTGGCTCTTGACCTTTCAGCTCTAGGAGTCTGTTTATGTCTCAGTCATATCTTTTTCCAAGACGATTAAATGAGTGTTAATGTATTAATAACCCAATTGCCCCCTAAAAGGTGTACAAGATTACTTTAGAGAAACCAAAGACACCATATGGGGAGCTCTGGTTTCCATACAGGGTGGAGGCCAAAAAAGACAATAAGGAGGAAGAGCATCCTCTCTAGAGCTGGGCAGCTTCCAGCAAAAGAGCACATTGTGGGAGGTTTCCAGGGGAGGCACTCCCTTACCACATGGGCTGTGGCATGGGGGACCCTAATAACAGGTATCTCCATCCAAAAGCTCACTGGCTCCTGCCACAGACGGAGCAGGACCATTAAGGCCTGCCTGTCCTCAAGGCATCACCTCCTCCATGGGCCATGAGGTTTCCTGCACCCTGCCATGTCCCCACTGCCTCAATGCCACGCATGTGGCACAGCACAATGCCTGCACTCTACACCTTGGGGTGTCTGGATGAATCCAATTTGCTGGATGTCAAATATGGCTCCCAGGTCATAGAGCAAGGCAGATGTGCCATGCAGTGGTTCTGACACCCTGGCTACCCACCTCCAGCTTAGAATGGCTCTTAAAAGGTCCCATGGGTTCCACCTCAAGCAGACCATGACAGTGCCAGGGATACCAGACAACTCTACTGGAGATGGATGAATACTGAGGCCCAAACCTTTGTCCTGCTGTGGCCAGATGAGATCAAGAGGGATGGGACAGCCTTGTCCCACTCATCCCCATCCATCCCATCCGTCATTCAAGTGTTTGTTGTTCTGTGCTGGCACTGTGTGAAGTGCTGTGGGTGCCTCCAAACCAAACAGAGCACTCAGCTTACAGGCTATTTGGGTAATGTGGGAGAGATGCATGACAAAAATGAACAAGTAAAATATCTGGAATTTCAAGTGGTGACCAAGGAGAAGGCAGGAGAAAGAGGAGAGAACATACTGAGGTGGGGACGTGATTCTTCAGTGGAATGGTCAGAGGCAGCCTCCTGAGAAGGCGACCTTTGGCAAAGTCCTGGAGGGGGTGAGGAAATAAGATGGCTGAGGGAAGAGCACTGCTGGCCAAGGGAACAGCAAGTGCAAAGGCCCTGAGTCACCACGTGCATAGTTATGGAGCAATGTGGCTGGAGCCACGTGGGTGACAGGGAGAGTGGGTGAGGGGGTGAGCCTGTCAGGTCCTTGCCATGGTAAGGCCTTTGGATAACTCAGAGGGGTTCAGAGACACTGCAGGGTGATGAGCAGCAGAGGGACACAGGAACAGGAAATCTGCGGCCCTTCCTGCTGTCCTAGCCAGGCAAACCTTGCCAGGAAGACACTTTTTAGGAGCCTGGAAGCTGAGCCAGACCAGCTCAGCCCTGCCCAGGCGACCCTCAGTCATGGAGTAATGGCCCTTCTTGGGGTTCTAGTTGCTCCTGAGTTCACAGGGATGTCGGGGCTGGGTTCTGAGCAGCGGCACCCTCTCCTTATCAGTCACCACCGGCCCCAGGTAGAACAGACATGGTCACATCTCAGCCAGAAGGTTCCACTGGTCTGTAGAGGGGATGCCCCTGAGGACCTAGGGAGGAAAAGGCAATGTGCTCCAAGACCTGGGTGTTCCCTCCCACCTGCCACCGTCTGTCACCGCAGTGCCTCAGAGGGACTAACAGTGAACTGGGCCAGACTTTGGGAATTTATTTCCGGAGCTGGTCCTGGGTGGGGAGGTCTACACAGGGATCCTCTCCTCTTACTTCATGGAGGGAGGCAGGCAGAGGACGCGTGGGGCCAAGGTGCTCACCTGAAGCCCTTGGTAAGAGGGACCCTGCAAGGCAGATAAGCAGGTGGGTGGATGGGGGCGGGTGCTGCTTCCCCACCTCTTATCAGCTCTGTCCTCCACCTGGATCTGTATGGGCAGGAGAGAGGAATGAGGTGGCCTCCAAAGAGGACGTCCTTCTTGACAGGGCAGTGACACCCCAATCACTCAAAACAACAAATGGCCTGACACCTTGACAGACCTAGCAGCGCCCCCTACCTGTGGGATTGGAAGTACCTGGGGGAGAGGGGTTCTGGCCTCTCACCTGGTGACCCTTTTTGTGTCGTGTGGGCTCCTGGTGACACCTAGTGGCCAGGACTTCCTGCTGCACTGTCTGCCCCCATTCCCCAGACGTGCTTCTTGGGGATTGTCCCCAGAAAGCAAGGGCACCCTCTGCCCTGGGTCTCCACCCACAGACTTGTTCTCACGATCCTCCTCCCCCACAGGGGCGTGCTCTGGGGCACCTGCACCCACACAGTCACTCTCACACCCTCCCTCGTGGCTCAGCCCTCCCACGTGAACAGAGCCGCAAGGGGCCCCTGGGGGATGTCCTCAGGCCCTCCGGGAAGAGGGTCCTCAGTGTCCCACTAGGCCAGCTGCACCCCTCCAGCCATCCACCCCACCCCCAAGTGTGCCTGCCCAGCTAGTCCGTCCAGGGAGAGAGGCCTGGAGAGGAGGCTACACGGCCACCTGGGACTTCCAGCCAGGCCTCACAGTTGCTGCCGTAAAAGACAAATCTGGGGCCGAGCCAGGAGACCAAGATTGAGAAGCAGCAAGATCCCAGGTAGGAAGGAGGTTGCCAAGCTAATCAGAAGCCAAGGAACCATCTCAAGAGAAAGCCCGCATGGACGTGGGCCCATGGCCTGACACAAGCCAGGCCCAGGAGCTGCGCGTCCTCTTTAGCCAAGAGCGGCCTCCTGCTGAGCCTGGGCCAGGCTCCCTGAATCACAGAGGGGAGCCGGAGGAACTGGGGGAAAGGCCTGGTAGGCCATGGTGCCCAGAGCCCTGCCAACTGAGGCTTGGGGCACGCATGACCAACAGCACACAGCAGCGCTGGGGGCCTGAAACCCCAGGCCCTGCTGGCCCGAGGGGGCTGATCAGCTATGCTCTGTCTTTTCCATTTCAGTCACTACCAGGAGAGGAGGGTAAGTGTCCCTTGTCCCATTTCCCAGCTGGAAGCCCTGAGGCCGGGTAGGAGCTTAGAGGGATAGAAGACAGGCTGGGGGAGGGGGGCGGCGGTGAACCCTGCAGGGTGTCGGGCTTCTACTTCTTATGCTTTCCCAGGACCCAGGTGTCCATCAACTGTACACCCGTCCTGCCAGCTTGAGGTGGCAACCCTTCACCCACACTCCCCCGCCAGCCTCCAGTCCCTTTATTATGCAGAGGAGATGCCCCAGGAGCCCGGCACACCACAGCAGAGCACAGCAGGACAGGACAGGCTGGTGCCTCTGGCAGAGGTGGGCTAGGGGCCAAGTGGGTTGAAGAATGGGCAGGTGGGGGCGGCTACAGCTTTTCCTGCCCCTGCCCATGAGCCTAGCCTGCTCACCTGGCATGAGGCCAGGTAAGGCCTAGGGGTAGAGGAAGAGGGAGGTGGACACTGCAGGATGCCCCCTCATGCTCAAAGCCCCAGGCACCCCCATAGGAGCTAGAAGTTCAGGGTACCTGGACTGGATAGAGGCTTGTACTCCCAAGGGGTCCCCTAGGTAGGAACTGGGGTACCCCCATTATCCCCAGTGCTCTCCCTACCTTAATTCTAATTTGGCTTGAAGCAGTTCTTTCTTGGTGGGAAAATTCGGATGGAAAAATTCCAACATCTACCTACCTGAAGGAACTGGGGGAAAGGCCCGATAGGCAGTAGCACCCAGAATCTTGCCAACTGAGGCTCAGGGCACGCTTCCCCAAATTCCCACAGGAGAAGAGCAGAAGCTTCGGGCAGGGAGACAAGAATCCCCTCCTGCACTCTAACCCTGTCCACCCCACCCCCGGGTCTGCTCCTTAGAATGTACCCACTTCTGTTTGGGGCAGGGGCTTTCGAAGACAGAATTGAACTGAGTCAGGGCCTCCACTTCGCCACCAATATTTATGGTGTCACTTAGAAGACAGTCTCCGAGCTGGAACTGGGATGTTGCACAGAGGAAGGCTCCTGGCTGGGAGGGAGGGTATCTGCAGGGGAAGGGAATTCAGATGAGGAACAAGATGGGAGCTGCCCAGGGGGACTGGGGGAGCCTGGGAGGGAAGGCTGGCCCAGTGTTCAGGGGAGGGGGCAGCTTGAGAGGGCTTCTGGAGGAAGACTCCCGGGCTGAGAGGGCTCTGCCAGAGCAAGGATCAGATACAATTCCAGGGTGACTGCAGGAGAAAGGGACTCCAAGGCCTGTCAGTGCTCCAAGAAGCAGGAAGTGGGGGCTAGGAATGGGGGGGGACAGAAAAGCAAGAGCTATAGGGGCAATGGGAGTTAGGGCAGGGATGAGTCAGATGTCCCCACAGGGGCCAGTGAGGAAACAGCTGAACAGTCACCAGGCCTGAGGGAGAAATGAGGACAGCAGCTCTCACCGTGCATATAGGGAAGGAGCGTGACAGTCCTCACTCCACCCATCTTTCTTAGAGAATCAGGTAAGTCAAAGTCCCTCAACTGTGGTTGTACTTCTCCCATGGGGTAGTTTGGAAACCTGAGGGAAACTTTGGTTGTGAGAATGGGGATATTCTTAGTCCATTTTCTGTGGCTATGACAAAATACCTGAGACTGGTTAATTGATAAAGAATGGAGGTTTGTTTAGCTCATGATTCTGGAGTCTGGGAAGTCCAATATCAGGGTTCTTGCATCTGGTGAGGGCCTCCTTGCTACATTCTAACATGGCAGAAGGCATCAAAATAGCAAGGCAGAGCATGGAGCCAGAGAGAACTTATTCTTGTAATAAAGTCACTCACCTCCCAAAGGGCCACCTCTTAAAAACCACTAACATATGACTTTGGGGATTAAGTTTCCAACACATAAATTTTGGGGAAACATTTTCAAATCATAGCAGACTTCTATAGACATTGGGTGGTGGGGACCTGAGATACAGGGGTGTCCTGTATCCCACATGGCATCCAAATATTCTACTGACATTTGTCTAGGTCAGTGGTTCCCAATAATGAGCAGTTCCGCCTCTCAAAGGACATTTAACAATGTCTAGAGACACTTGCTTGCTATCTACTGGGGCGTGCTATTGACAGTTAGTGGATAGAGGCCACAGATGCTGCCAGGCATCCAACATTGCACCTTTACTCAGCCCAACATGTCCATAGTGCTGAGGATTCTGGGTAGGTGAAAACCCTACTGGTAATAACCAGAGCCAGGAACTATTAGTTACCTTTCCATCAATGTGACTAAACACCTGAGATAATCAACTTAAAAAGAGGAAAGGTTGATTTGACTCACAATTTCAGAGGTTTCGTCTCTTGGTCTTGTTGCTTTGGGCCAGTGGGGCACAGTACGTCATGTCAGGAGCACATGCTAAGGGAGGTCTGTTCACATAATGGCAGTCAGGAAGCGGGAGAGACAGACAGACAGACAGGAGGGGCTAGGGTTCCAATGTCTCCTTCAAGGACACATCCCAATTACCTAACTTCCTTCCACTAGGCCCCACCTCCTAAAGGTCCTACCTCTCCCATTAGTGCTAGGGCTGGAGACAAAGCCTTTCACGCTTAGCCTTGGGGGACACTTATCCAAACTATAATAAGAACCTACTTCTGTCTTACAGTTTCCAAATACAGAATTTCCCAGGGAGTCAACAAACAATCAAGCGGAGGTGGAGCCCGATTTGTTCAGAAATTGACCAAGATATGTTTGCAGTCTTGGAAAAACACATCCCTAAAATGACTCTGTGGCTCAGGCAGATACCTGAGCCTAGAAGGATGCTCCCACCCCTACCTGTGACTGTTGCAGCTGCAGCCTTGACCCCATGACCAGCCTCTGAATCCTCTGTAGATTGTACCCAAGCATTTCTCAAATAAACATGTGTCATAAAAACACAAGCTACTTTCCTTTTATTTCTCCCTTAAAGTTGGGACATTAAACTGATTTTTATTATGCCTGGAGGTTATATTATCTATACATTTTATTTGGGAAAGTGAGAAGACAATATAAGACCCCATAGAAGGTGCAAAAGCCTGATAATGCTTAGGGGAGGTGGGGATAGGGAGGACATGAGGACCTCCTCCCCCCAGGTTGGGAGGAGATGAGGACAGTCCCTGACTCCCACTGTTCTTAACCGTACAAACTTGATCAGTGGAAGGAGGTGTCCCCTGGCTAAGGAAAGGCAGGGGGAGGCCTGGGCACGAGGAAGATCCATGCTTGGGCACTGCCCACAGGATCCTGAGGTCAGAAGCAGGGTGTAGGAGTGGACACCAAGAAGTGGAAACTGCAGATTCATCAGGGGCCAAGAATGTCACACACAGGTTTAAAGCCACCAGTAAGACTGAGCACAGTCCCCATCCATAGGACAACATCCAGCTTCTGTCTAACCAAGATTCTCCCGAGGACCCCAGCAATGGTGCTAGGTGACCCGCTGCGACTCATGGGGAGGGGATTCAGACCCTCAAACCAGTCCCACAAAGCCCCTGATGACTTGCACTCCAAGAAGGGTCTACAAAGAAGGTGGCCAGGGACCAAGGTGGGCTTCTTCTGGTGCAGCAGACTCTACTGATGGCACCTATGATCCTGTAGGTCTCATCCAGACAGGGTTCCAGAGAAGTGTCGTGGGCCTCAGTTCCTCTAGAGGGGCTCCCCTCCCTCATCCCAAGGAAGCAGATTCTCTGCTCCCCCTACACTGGACAGACAGGGGGTGTGGGTGAATGATGGGGGTCCCCCTAGGGAGCCCATGATCAGACCTTCCATATGGTCCTCAACCAACGTGTCACACACAGGTCTAAAGCCACCCAGTAAGACTGAGCACAGTCCCCACCCATAGAACAGCATCCACCTCCTGTCCAACCAAGATTCCCCACCTCAGTGCCCCATGAACCAATGTACCCTTGAATCGGGGCAAAGCCTGGTTTTTACACTAGAAGAATTCATTGGTTAGAAATAAATACTTAGAATTTTCCAGGTTTTTCTTTTCTTTCCCTGATTTTGATGTTTCTTTAAGCCTCCGAGGGACCTGCTATGTATCACATCCAGCCCCACAATGTCCACTGCCCTTCAGGGGCAGCCCCTGTGCCGCCCTCGCTTTTCCCATGCTCCTGGCCTCTCTGTCTGTTAGGCAGGTGGGGATCTGAGCCACGGGCCTGCAGTCCCAGCCCACTAGCCATGGTGGGCCCGGCAGGGCAGCTCTACTCAGCTGTGAAAAAGGCTGGGGCCCATCAGATAAGGCGCTGGGCCCTCCCCGCAGGTACTGTCACTACCGCCACCGCAGGAGGCTCCATCGCCCCCGTCCCTCCCAGCCCTGCCTCAGGCAGGTGTGCTGCCCAGAATGAATTTCATTACCCGACTTCTCTGGTTTCACTATGAGTTTCCTGACCCAGGCCAGCACCCACAGCCCCAGGGGCCTCCTCTGCACCTCTCAGGCCAGAAGGCAAACCTCAGGAAGGACTTCCCTGATTCTGGTGGTCCCGGGAGAGGCTGGGTATTAGTCTCGGGGAGCCCATCTGGCTCTCCTGGACCTTCTCCCAAATCCGGAAGAGACCCAGATTTCTTGATTTCCCTGAGAGGCAGGCCAATCGGGTTCCAGCCCAAAGACGGGGCTCAAAGTCTGACAGGAAGTCTGCCCTCTGGTGGTGACTATTAGAATGACAGGTGTCCTTGAGTGGAGGGATATGGTAAAGGTCCCAGGGAGAGCTGCCTTGGTCCGGGAGACTGATCCTGCACCTTTCAGGGTTGGGACCACCAGAGAGAAATGAGAGCCCTCTTTCAGAGCAGAGTCCCAAGCCCCAGTCTTCTATGACTCACAGACTCCACAACAACCAATAGAGTGCTGCACAGGGCAGTGTGCACAGGGCAGTGTGTGATCCCAGGCCCTCTCTGCAACACAGGAATATGGGAATCCTGACCTGTCCAACAGGTCACCTATCCTATAGCCAGGGAGCCCAGGAACCCCACAGCTTGGGTGACAAGTTCAAGCAAACAGCCCCTCCGGACAGCTGTGGGGCACTGTTCTCATGGGGAAGATCCAAGACTCTGGATATTAACTGACATCCAATTTATAAGCCAGTGGCAGAGCTGGGACAAGAGACTACCTCTCCTAGTTCCCAGATAAGAAAGACACCTGGAATCTTCCCTGAGGAACTACCATGAGAAAGGCATAAGATCAGCTCCCTGCTTTTGAGCAGCCTCACACGGAGAGAAACTGCAAGCAGAGGTGGCAAGGTGGGCACAGAATGGGCATGTCATCCACTCTGAGAACCAGGGAGGCTTCCGGGAGGTGATGTCTGTCTGATTCCTGAGGCACAAGTGAGGACATGTAGGCCAAGGAGCAGCATGGGCAAAGCAATGTGACCACCAGTCTGCTGTCTCTCAGCTTGCAGAGGAGGGGAGTTGTTTCAAAGAGTGACACTCACCCCAGTTTCCTTGGACACCCAGCTTTACACCTGTCTTCCTGGCATAATTACTCACAGTGCCTCCTTTCATTTTCAAAAGGTCCAAGTTGGGGCCTTAAGCCTCAGTCTGGGAGGGGTGCTCCTCATTGTGGCTGCACTGGACCAGGACAGTTTGGGGTGGGAAGGGATTAGGTTTGCCCCTGGAGCAGCCCTGGGGTAGGGAAGAGGCTGCTGTCAGTTTGGAGGAGAATGTAGGGTGTGGAAGGCATCTGGTGGAGGAGTGCATGGTGAAGGGGCCGTCAGTAAGACAGAGCACAGTCTTGAAGCTCTTGGCCCAGAGACTGGGACCCAGGTTCCAGTCATGGGAAGGAGTTGGTATCTTGTGGTGTTGGACAGCCTGGGAAGCCAGAGAAAGAGATGATGCTCTTGCTAAAAACTGGATGCCCCCAATCACCAAGGACAGAGTGCAATTTGGGGAGATTAGAATAGTCTGAAAAAAATCCACGGTTGGAAAAGTGAAGTGGGAGGAAGGGGTGTGCAGGCCAGGCCCATCCCAGGTGTGCCCTCACCCAGGAACCTTGAGCACCCTAGCTTCCATCCTACCCTGGTGACCCTCAGGACTGGCCTGGGGAGACCATGCCCCCAGGAGTAGGCGCAGGGCCAGGGTGTGAATGAAGTCTTTGTCATGGGAATAGTTTTCACTGGAACTTCTATTTAGCCACGTGGAGCCCCGTGTAGCTGCCCTAGGCCCACCAGTGAGAGGGCTGGTGTGGGTGGAGGGCAGCCAAGGAGGGTGCAGAAGGAGGAGAGAGGTGATTCAGGACAAAGGTTGAGAAGGTGAGGAGAAGGAAGGCAGGACGTGGTCTGTCACTGCCAAAACTCACGCTGAAACTTGATTGCCTATGGAGGTGCTGAGAGGTGGAGGCCTGCAGAGGTGCGCAGGTCATTCAGAGGAATTCACACCATTCTCTAGGCCCTGGCCACTGCTCTCAGGAGTGAGTGAGTCTTGCTGAGAGAGGATTACAAAGTGAGATTCCCCTGGTGTCCTCCCACCTTCTTCCATCTGAAAGTCGTGTCTTTTGATTAACAGAATGCGCACGTCAACTTCTCATCACTGTGACAATGACTGAGAAAATCAACTTTGGAAGAGGAAAATTTTATTTGGCTCATGGTTTCAGAAGTCTCAGTCCATGGTCAGCCAGCTTCATTGCTCTGGGACTGAGGCGAGGCAGAAGGGCATGGCCCAGGAAAGAGGCCATCAGGCCATGGCGGCTGGGAAGTGGGGGGTGGGGGGAGGGGAGCGACCCAGGACAAGATGTAGTCTTGGTCTACAGGAAGTAGGAAATAGGAAGGGCATGCCTACTTCCTGCTTTCTCCAAACCATTCCCCACCTGCCTACAGCTTCCACCTCCTCCCAGGAGTCCATTCAAATTGTGAATCCACCAAATGGATTAATCCACTGATGAGGTTAGAGTCATCATGATCTAATCACTTCTCCAAAGCCCCACCTCTGGACATTGCTGTACGAGGAACCAAGTCTTCAACACATGGGCTTTTAAGGAACTGTTCAGATCCAAATCCTAACACAGAAGTTTCAAATTTTAATGCAGTCTAATCTGTCACTTTCAGTGTTTAGTCACTAATAGTGTTTCTTGCGTCTTGTTTAGGAAAATGAATTTATTCTCTCCTCTAGGTCTTTTTCTAGCTGTCGTTTCACCTGGGATTGGGCTGTAGTTTGGATCTAGATTGTCCTCCATAGACCCATGTGTTAAAGGTTTGTTGCACAGCTCAGTGCTTTAAAAGGTGGGGCCTAGTGGAAGATGGTAGGCCATGGGTGCACGGCTATAAAGGATATAGTGGAGATGATGGAAACCTGACCCCTCTGCTTCTTTCCCTCTCTCACTTTTTTTTTTTTTTTTTTTGCTTTCTGGCTGCCATGAGGTTAGCAGCTTCCACATACTCCCTGCCACGATGTGCTGCATCACCCACAAGCCCAAAAGCAATGGGGCCAACCAGTCATGGACCAGAACCCCCAAAACAGAGCCAAAATAAATCCTTTATCTTTACCAGTTGATTATGTCAGGTATTTGTTACAGTAACAGAAAGTTGACGAATACAAATTGGTTTTAGAGTATGGTGTAGGGATGGGAGTGTTTTTTTTTTCCAAATATAGATACTCAATTGATCCACTGTTAGAGTCTGTAAACAAGTCAAAATAACACCTGGCATTTTGCCAGGGGAATGTTAGAGTTTGTAAACAAGTCTGGATGGTGCCTGGCAAAATGCCAGAGGGAGTGGTTTGAGAAGTAACAAAAGCAAGCCATTAAGTGTGGAGATTCCTTATTGGTTGACTGATGTATCTAGTTTATGTTAATTAGATAAGCTGTGTGGAATGTATAAATACTGCTCCTGTCCTGCAATAAACGGCTCCCACTCCTGCTGTATCAATGTACACAAATTATTCGTCACCCCCCGGTTATTTTGCTGCAGCCGGACTGCGGCAATCCACCACCATTTATTGAAAAATCTGGACTTTCTCCACTGCTCTACACTATCATCTTCACCCTGATAAACCAGGATGGAGCTGCTTCTGCATTTTGTGTTTTGTTCCACTAGTAGATTGTTTATCCTTGCACCAATACTACACTGTCTTCTTTATAGTATGATGTGTAAGTCCTCCAATGGTGTTGTTCTTCATATACACTGTAGCATCAACTTGTCAAGTTTCACCAAAGAAGGAGAAGGAGGAGGAAACTGAGGAGGAGAAAGAGACGATGACAATGACAGTCAGACAACAAACCCGTCTGGTTACTTTGATTGAGATTGCAGCAGATGGACTGATCAATGCTAAGATCAATTTGAGGGAAAACATCTTAAATTCCAATCCCCAAACATGTTATATTCCCCTGTTGAATTCATATCTTTAACAATTTGTTTCACTGGTGTTTTTCGTTTCTGTATAGAAATTGTACTCATCATTCACTAGGTTTATTTTTAGGCATTTGATTTTTATGTTATTATAAATTTCATTTTCTAATTATTGCTGGTATAAAGAAATACAATTAGTTTTTGATATTGAATTTGTATCCAGTGACTTTACTAACTGAACATATCAACTTACTTACAGTTTAAAAAAATTTTTTTTTACATATCCAATCATGTCACATGTGAATGACATGTTTTATGGCTTCTTTTCCTATCTTCAAACTTTACTCTTTTTTCCTGCCTTATTACACTGGCTAGGATCTCCAATTCAGAATTGTACTGATGAGTGTCAGCATCCCTTCTCACTTCCAATCTCAGTGAAAAAGCATTAAAGATTTCACCATTAAGTATGATGATAATTGCAGAGTTTCCGTTTTCTGCTTCTTAGGGATTTGTTCTTAAGTAGATAGCTTTACTGAATAAAGGAAGTTCTTTCCTGCTTCTTGCTAAGAGTTTGTTTGTTTAAATCATGAATGAATGGTTTTGCTATTCTACCCAGAAAGTCCTATAATCCACCTTTTTTTCCTCGATAACTGGGGTATCATACTGCTTGATTTGGGGGTGTCAAACTAATCTTGGTAACCCTTTGTTCCCATTGGCATTTGCAGGTTCTAGTTGAATGACAATAAAATGGTCTCCTGAGCTATGTGTTTGGAAAAATACTTGCAAGCTCCGTCCAGCACAGTGTCTTATGTTCTCCTTGTTTCCTTCAAGCACAAACTCCACATCCAAGTTCTGAAAGAGGATCACTCCTGAAAAACCACAGGCCTCTCTGGCCCTTGAGGCTCATGCTAGCCCCTCTGCGACCAGTCCCTGAGGGCACTACCTCTAGCTGGATCCTCAACCAGCAGACCCTAGGACTAAAACAGGCACGGTAGGGGTCAATCTCCTGGGACTGGGGCCATGGTAGAGGCCCCAGGTCCCTACCACCTGCGTCAATCCTGAGTGTTCCAGGCCAGGGCTGCTCCCCCATCCCACCCTGAGACAGACTCCTTTAAGAGAGTCAGCTGCTGAACGCGTCTCTGGGGCGGGAGGCTGAAGTCGCCAAGAATGTCGGGCTCCGACGACAACGGGGAGAGCGGAGGGCGAAGGATGAAGCTTTGCCTGGTGGCCTCCCCCTTCCAATCCCCCCAGCACATCCACCCAGGGTTCTCCGGCTTCAACTCTTACTCTCGGGTCCCCACCCCAACTTCGAAGTTCCCTCCCGCCAGCAAACCGCCACCGTCCTTCGCTGTCCCCCGCACCTCTCCCCCCAGCCATGCTCCCACCTCCAGGCTCTCCCGACCAGACCCTGGTTCCATTTCAAATCCACTCTGCCGCTGTCGCACCCCTGCCGGGCCCCACAAACTCAGAGGCAGCGAGTGGGGGGAGTACCCTGCGCTCCGCTCGGCCTCATCCACATGCAGGGGACGGCGCGTCGCGGCGGCCGCCAGAAAGAGACAAAGGCTGTTCCGCCGCCGGCCGCGCAGTGCCAGCCTCGCCCCGCCCGCCGCCCCGGTGGCCCCGACGCGGCCCCCCTGACTCTGCCGGGTGGGTCGGGCTGCACGGTCCGGACGGCGTCCGAGAGGAGGTAGCCTCCCTCGAATCCTTCCCATCAGACCTTTTCCCGACCACAGCCACCTTTTCGGTGTCACCAGGGCCCTTCAAGTGGCCTGGCTACTGTGAGCAGGGCTGGTCCACGCCGGGCCTGCCCCAGAGTTACAGTCCGCCGAGTCCTCATTCTGACCTGTGACCAGGAGTGTGCAATGATCGATGGGGACCTAAAGCCAGACGCAGGCCAGAGCAAGGGGGTGGGGGCGCTCTCCAAAATTCCCACGAGGCCTTGGGTCACTCCCTGGATTAGGGTTGGGGATTCCGAAGCCTTCACCTTAATCCTGTCTCCCCAGGCCTTTGATCAGGACCCCACCCCAGAATCTCATGACCCCGCCCCCCCAACCCAGAAGAGTTATGGGGTGCAGCCGCCACCCCTACCACAGTCATCAACACCTGGAGGCCAAGAAGGCACGAGAAAGGCTGTGTGTCTGCACCCTTTCTCAAGTGTGTCACCTGCCCCGTAGTGGGTACCTGTCTCTGGACCTCAGCTTTCACCTGTAGAATGGACACATACATACACCCCCGCGTGCGCGCGCGCGCGTGCACACACACACACACACACACACTAATTGGGGGCGTGTCTGAATGTAGGGAGTACGGAGCGCTGGCATGCAGTGGGTTCCCAATAATACAGACAGCTGTCACTGTAGCCTTTCCTCAGCCTCCTGAGGGCAGGGATGGTTTTGGTTTTGAGCTCTTCTTCTCCACCCCACACAACCTCTGGATGCAACTGAGGCGATGGGAGGGCTGGCTCCTTCTTTCACTCAACTGGGAAGTTCTCCCTAGGTCTATCTCAAGTTCTCTCCTTCCCAGACCAGGATTGGGGGGGAGGGGAAGTTCCCTTTAAGGGCCGTGGGGGAGGGGGCTCCGGCCGGCCCTCCTTCCGCCCCTCCCTGGCCCCCCTCCGGCCTGGGGGGACCAAAGTCCGGGCCCCGCGCCAGCGCATGCGCCCGCCTGTGGGCGCTGTCCCGGCTGCGAGGGCTGCGAGCGCACCGACAGACAGACCGACCGACGGACTGGCAGTCCGCCGGACAGACGGGGCAGCGCAGGGAGCCGGGACGCGGCGGGAGAGCGACATGACCGGCCACATACAACAGCCAAGCGGGCGCGGGAACACCGGTCCTGCGCCCTCGCCTTCCCCCGGCCCGGGCCCGGGCCCTGGCGCCTCAGAGAGGGTAGCGCTCAAGAAGGAGATCGGACTGGTGAGCGCCTGTACCATCATCGTCGGTGAGCAGGGCCCGAGGCGGGTGGGTGCCCTGGACTGCAGGGCCAAGGCTGAGGGGGCATGCAAGCAGCTCCAAACCAGGGGCACCCCATCTCCTGGCTTTCTTACCGGTCTGGTTCACAGGGACCCCTGGAAAGCCGAGGCAGGGAGCACCAAGGTTCAGAGATTTTTGCTCCCGTCTCCCTGGCCGCCCTGAAAATTTGCAGCTCAGGAAGTTGTGGGTCCCCTCCACCGCTGGAATCCTCCTTTACCTCCCTATGGGTCTTCCGTCTTCGGCAAGGCCATTTGCTCTATGAAATGGAAATGATGACTATAGTCTTGCCTCTAGTGCAGGAGCTGGGCAAGTTCTGGGTTATGGGTCATGGTGAATCCCTACTGTTTGCTAGGTCCAGGTACCATGCAGAGTGAGTGATCTCATCTTGGAAAGCAGGCAGAATTGCAGGTAGGCTGGACAGGTAGAGCCTGCACAGAGGAAAAATAGGTTCAGAGCATGTAAATTACTACCAGGTTTGGCAGCTGGAACCAGGGAAAGGAAGTGGAATAGCCCACGGCTGGGGACAGTAGTGGGCAGACCAACCCTGCAGAAGGGCCACCTGCTCCCTGGCTGGTATCTCAACGGACAGCCCATGGCCTGAACTGCTGGCCCCAGCTTCCACTTGTGCATGGATCTGTGTGCCCCCAGTGCCCTGTCCGCTTCCACAAAGGGGCTTCTGGGTAGGCAGGGTGGTGGAGTTTTCTCCTTCTGTCCCAAGATGTGAATACTTACTTCTGGGAACCGGGCTAACTCAGCCCAAGTGTCTCTGAGCCCTCCTGAGGGACATTTTCTGTTCCCTGCATCCAGAAGATATAGGCTTGGGGGATGAATTCCTGGGGCCTTACCCCCTGTGACTGGTCCCCAGTCAGTGGGAGCTGCTTGTTCACCATTACCCTTCTACCCTCAGACTCCTGGAGATGGAGGAAGTTTGAGGGGCTCAACGGGGCAGAACTAGTGTCTTCACCTCCTCTGCTCTGCCCCCATATTAGAAGCTCCAGGGCCACAGCTGCAGTCTGGCTCTTGGCCATGCCCTGCCCTCACATTGAGAGTTGCCCCTGAACACAGTCCCAGGCAGGTGGCTCCACTGTCTCTCCTGCTTCCTCCTAGAATCCTATCTCCCAGGAGCTGGCCCTGACCTGGCCCTGGGAGCTTCCTGGCCTAGGTGCTTCTGACTATCTGCTAGAAAGAAGGACTGGTTCTGGGAATTGGGTCGGAGTACTTGTTAGAGCTTTGCTCCAGCCCATGCCTTCTCTGTTCTCTAGGAAGGGAAAACTGAGATGGGCACTAAGGGTCCCATCTCTCCCCATTCACTACTCCGGGGCCCACCTACCCCCATTCAGCCTCCCATCTAGGTGGGCCCATTTTTCTCTACATACTAACCTGGGAAGTCTAGTCAAAGTCAAAAGTCTGCAAAGTATCATATTTTAGCATTCCACACTTCAGAACTTATATCCTGCTTTATAATCTATCCTTGTTTATTAGCAGTCGCTTAACTGATTTCCCAAACGTCTAAAGTTCATCCCAGGAGATCCTATAATTCCCTCCTTTATTATATTCTCTGTCCCATCCCAGGCTGAAGAGTAAGAATTTCAGGAATGAGGAGATATGGAAGAACTGGCTCTAGGCAGCAGTGAGACTCCACCTGAAATACGTTTAGCTGGTAAAAACAAGCAAAGCTTGCAGGGGGTACTAATCCAGACCAGAGTAAATCAAGCCAGCTGGGCAGGACTGTGCAGGACAGCACAATCACATCCAACCATTGTTCAGAGAATCACTTCTTTTTACATTATAAAAACACGTTCTTCCTTTCCTCCTTTGATTCTCATGCCCACCTTGCAAGATGGGAATTTTTGTACCCATTATACAAATGTAGAAACTGAGGTTGGAAGTTAAGTGACATGGCTGCAAGTTGTGGGCTCAAGATTTGGAACCAGATCTGGATTCAACCCTCTGTTCAGTGCCCTTCACACCGAGCTGAGCAAATTGGGGCCAGACTCAGAGCCCTTGATGGGGAAGGCTGGGGCTTGAGCTGCAGGCTCATCCAACAAGGTAGATTGAGCTCTCCACTCCATTATGGAGGTACAAATAGATGGGGAGGGACGCTGGGTCTCTCTGGCAGCGGTACATAGAGGGCCTCTCATCTTGGCTTAGGGACTTCAGCCATCTGCCTCATGTGATCCATAACCAAAGAAGAGATGTGCCTAGACCCGGCAGAGGGGTCACCTTGGGTCTGCTGACCAGGTTCTTCCTCCACTCTGTTCCTGTGACTTGGATGTTCAGTTCATGTAGGTGTTTGGGGATCAGGCTCAAGTATATTCAGGGACTCCAGGAAGTAACTTCACAAACTTCATCTTCCCAGGAGCCAATCCCAGTTCATCCAGCCTCTGTCAGGTCCTGGTACATGGTCTCTAGGGCTTGAATTTAGCTGGGCTGCTCAGAGAGGATGGGCCTCTGCAGAACCCCAGCCCCTCCTCATTAGGAGCCAGAAGAGACATAAAACTACATAGGAGTCTATCCACATGTCACCAACGTCCCATTTACAGATGAGGAAACTGAGGACCCTAGGCTGCAACCTGCCCAGGATCACATGTCCTTGAGGCATTCTGGAACACTTTTGGAGGACAGGATGATCCAACTACAAGGATGGGGACCTGCCAACCCTTGATACATTCGTTCATTTATCCAGCAGTGCTGGGCACCACCTAAGAGGGGACAAGGCAGAGGAGGAGTTCCTCTCCTCCTAGAGCAGACATACCAACAGCAAACGAACCCACAAGCCAAATGTGTGGCCAAGGGGTCATGAGAAGCACTGAGACCAGACAACTGAGCCGGGAGGAGGACCTGAAGTGCTGGGAGCGGGGTGGAAGGTTGGATGAGTGAGGAGGTGGGTGGGGTTTGTTCGAGGCTTCGCAAAGAGTGATAGGAGTTTGCCTTTTTCTCCTTAGGAGGTGGGAGCCCTGGAAGGGTTTGGAAGAAGAGGAGTGGGATGACTTACTGCACTCACTATGGAGGAGACTCTGTGAGGGCAGGAAGGCCAGGCAGGAAGCCACTTGAGTCACCTGGACAAGAGGCAGTGGTGGCTCAGAGCAGGGTGGCAGCTGTGGAGGGGCTGAGTGTGGGGTGTGGAAGAAAGAGAAAGGTCAGGGATGACATAGGTCAAGGTCTGAGCAGTTGGGAGGATGGTTTGTTATTGATTGATTGATCAGGGAAGATGAGGAGAAGAGCAGGTTCAGGGAAAGGGGACACAAAAGTCAGGAATGCTGTTTTGAACATGTCGAGTGTGAGATGCCTGTTTGTTTGGTACACAGGCTGAGTTTGGTAGAACGGTGCATGGCAGGGATATGAATTTGGGATTTGCCAACAGAAGCCAGGGGGCTGGATGAGATCACCAAGGGAATGATCAAGGCCACTCAGTGTTTAGAAGTCAGACAAGAAAAGGGACCAGCAAGAAAGAGCCACCAGCCAGGTAGAAGGGTCAGGAGGCGGAGTAAAGAGGGTGATCGCTCCGTCACAGGCCACTGATGAGTCAAGTAAGATGTGGGCTAGGGCTTGACTGTTGGATTCAGCAATGTGGAGCTCACTGGGGACCATGACAAGACTCAGCCTGGAGGTGGGGCACAGGCAAGATTTCCTAAGCTAGGCAGGATGCACTGATGTAGGCAGAGGCTCTATGCTCTGCTCATCCCCTCTCTCCACAGGAAAGTGGGTTAGGCTGGAGGTGCCTGCCAGCAAATTAGTGATTCTAGTCACGTCCTGGATGTCCCCACTCACTGCCTTGGGGTACTACCAAGACCTCAGTGGGAGCATCTGTCATTCCAGGGAGGTACCTGACACATGCTTACTATGAGGACACAAGGACATTTGTGTACTTGGAGGACAGGCTTCACCCAGGTCTCAATAGGGTTCTGGCTGCTCACACCAGGGTGTTGGGGGTCCGTGGGACTCAGGTCTCCAGAGGAAAGACTAAGTGTCTTGGGTGGGGTCTCCAAGGTGGATGACAGAGTGGGATCCATAAGCCATTTCCACGGTCTTCCAGCCCTTCCTGGCCATTCTCCTGGCACTGTGACAGTGGAGCAGGGTTCAGGTTCTAGAGCCAGTGGAAGCTTGCTGTGCGTAGTGTTGACCTGGAGAGAGGGCTGCCCAAGAGTGGGATGTTCTGCCTCGAGCAGAGTGTCTCCTTGGGCCCAATACAGATGTGCAAGGTGCATCCTCTCTGCCAAAGTCAGGGTCAGACTAGCTCTCTGCTGCCCGCTAGTCCAATGGCCCCACCTGGAAATTGGGGAAACTGAGTCTCAGAAGGGCAGTACTGATCTGAGGTCACGTGGCTGACTCCTCCGTGTTTCTAGGGATAAGGTTGCAGCCAGTGTCCTGGCCTGGCTTGACTTCCCCACCCCTCCCCGAATCCGACTGTATATTCCCACAACACACACCCCACGGGCAGGCGGCTCCTTCTACCAACCAGACCTCCTTGGCCCACTCCTGCGACCTCCACAGTCTGCTGCTGCCTCTCAGAAATAGGTCAGCACGCACAGCAGCACCCGCAGGGAACAATGGCCCTTTCTTCAATCCTCCAAGGAGCCGGGTAAGCCCCATCAGGCCAAACATCTTAATGTGATAAAAACCACCCAGGAAAGGCTCAGGGAAGAAGGGCGGGAGGAGGAGACTCAAGGGAGGCCTGCTAGACGGGGAAACTTGCATCTGACCCTCGCCTGGCTTAGCTGCCTGCTGAGGGACCAACAGGGACTAGGTGTCCCATTGGGTAGAGAAGAACATGGAGGCCTCAGGACCAGCATCCCTCTGGTTGTCAATCAGACACCCAACAGATGCTCAGCAGTATCTCTTGGCCCACCTTATGTCCTATTAGGCCAAGTTCCTGCTTCTCTTTTTCCTGAAGAGTAGGATTCCTCAAGGGCTGGACTTGTCCACTGCTGTTGCCCTCATCAGGCAGATCTGCTGGGCCTGAACACAGGGTCTGAGGAAGGAGGAGCTAGGCAGGCACCTGGGTGACATCCATGCAGCTCCAGCAGTTCCTCCTCTATTCGAGCACCCGAGGGCTCCCAGCCCTGTCCTCAGCATCCTCCTTCCTCCTGATCCTCTGCCACTCATCAAGCCCACCCTGAGCATGAGCCTGGGGCAGTTACTTCAGGCCTCTTCAGGCCCACAGGGAGAGGCCCCTGAGGACCTCAGAGACACTGGTTTGCTCAGATGGTCCTTTGAACCACAGGGGAAGAAGTCCTGAATGGTAGCCCGAGGCCACATGTCCAAAACAATAGTGATCCTCCCTGCCACCACCGCTACCCACCCCCAGAAACCAGCATCTGAGTCCCAGCCACTTGGCACCTGAATAATGCTATGCCCTTTTCAGACCCCAGCTCAGGAAGGTGAGGTACAAGGTGTGGCTCCCCCAAGTATTAGATCTGTGAGGCTCAGCCAGGCTGAGCTGTGTACAGGGGTGGGGTCTCCACGGGGTGGGTGGCTCAGGGCCCTGGATGCCCCCAGCTCCAACATCCCCGGCTCCTTTCGAGGCCACCCAGCCCCCGCTGGCTTCCAACCTCACTGGCTTTTGGCAAATCCTGCTCCGCCAGGTCCTGAGAACTGCCGGATGGAGCCAACTCAAAGGCCCTTTGGAAAACCCACAGCCCACCCAGGCCCAAGGCCCATCGCGGTGGGTGCAGGAGGTGGCCCCTCTCCCCTGCCCCCCAGAAGCAGACCAAGGGCGCAGCTTACCTCTGGGGCTTGAGGCACAGGAATTATTTCATCCTTATCTGGATGTATTTAGGGCTCCTGGGATGTGACCAGAAAACCAAATGGGGCTCTCGTGGCGGTCCAGACTAGAAATCTGTGTCGACCGGGGACGGGGGTGAGGGGTAGCACCGTGGACAAGGAGTGAATGCAGATTGGAGGCCACAGCCGTGTCCTCGTCCAGCCCCGCCTATGGGCTTGGCAGGTGGAGTGGGCAGACTCAGCCTTGATGGATGTGTGACCCCCTCCCTGGGCCCCACCAGGTGGGAGTAATCCTTGTCCAGGGGCGCTGAGCCCCAGGTCCCACCAGTGCTGTTTTTGTCCATGTGGCCTGTGGGTCTGGGATTCTTTCCTCTTGGGCGGACCCGAATGCAGATCTCTAGTGAAGTTACCTGATTCATTTGCAGGTTGGTGAGACCCACGTGAGCAGCCATAGCCCTACTCCTTTCTAATTGCCAGGGAGCTCAGGGCTGAACAGAGGCTGAGTCTCACTTGCCCTGGGAGTCTGCTCTGCAGGCCACAGCTCATCTCTGAACATTTCCCATTGTTTCAAGAAGCAGAGGGGCACATCCCCTTTCCACTCCCAGACATCTGGAGGCCACAGGAGCAGCCCCCTCTGCCCACATCCTTTGAAGACCCAGAAGGATGAGTCTTTTGCCCAAGCACAAGGCAGGCCTTACAGAACTGTGGCAGATTCCATTTGCATGGGACCTCAGGAGCCTGCAACTCCTTCACTCCTCCTCAGAGACCCCCAGTGGGAGGGCTGAGTGGGGCCTGGTGCCCTCACTTCACAGACAAGGAAATTAGTCCTTCATGTCAAGGTCTGGATGCCACTCTGGGCATTGGGCTGTGTAGTCACCCATCAGTTTACTCAGCACATGCCTTCTGAGCACCTGCAGGGCGTGGGGCCGTGAGGTGATAAGGCAAGGCAGAGTGGGTGACTGCTGAGGGGGGCAGGAGCTACGCACAGGACCACACAGGGGCGCGCAACACATCTGGCAACAGCTGTAAATGAGCTGGGGGCCTCACATAGTGTGTCTCCCTGAGCCCTCATAACAACCCTGTTTTACAGGTTTAGGGAGGTCAGCAGCAAGACCTTCCCGCCTGAGCAGGGAGCAGGCACAGGCCTTCAGGGCCCAGCTGGGTTTCACATTGTGTAATCAGGGGCAGACCCAAGGGGAATGGCAGGCAGTCTGTGTACAGACCCCAGACTGGGCCAAGAGTCTCTACCAGCTGTCATTGCCTGACCCATCCCTGCCCTGACAACTCCCAGCCCTGAAAATGCACCAGTTCTCTGCCTCACCCCACTGGCCCTTGCCCAGAACTGGAAACATGTGAACAGCTCAAAGAAACATGATCTCTTCAGAGTCTATGTCCACAGCCTGGGTTCGAGGTCAAGGAGGGGCTCCCTGATAGGAAAAAGGGAAATAGAAGCTACAGAAACCTAGAGTGAGGCCGTGAGGTGAGCAGAGGACCCCACACCTGGCTCAGGCAAGCAGAGCTCTAGGCAGCAGGTTGAAAGAAGGACAGATGGCCGGAGGCTGACATGACAAGACTGGGGACCTGAGCTAGAGGGGGTCCATGTGGAGATGCACAGGAGTGGCCACCTGTTGTGGTTCAGGTGTTGGGCCCCTCCCTTTGCTGACTCCCTCTCATGCAGGAGTAGGAGAGTGGACAGAGGAACTCAGGACCTGTCTCTGGCTGGCTGGACAAGGTGCCATTTCCCATGCCAGGGACTGAGCAGGAGGCTGATGATGAACCCAGAATGGGCCTTGCTGGGTTCCAGGGGCCCAGTGGCATCCACACGTCTCCAGCACCCCCACCCCACTCCTCCTCCAGGGAGCACCCAGGCTTCCTTCCTCAATGCAGTATCCGGACCCCCCCAGAGAAGGCTGGGCTGCTAAAGGGGGCCCCAGGCCTGATGCCTCCCATCTCTCCCCTACAGGGAACATCATTGGCTCGGGCATCTTCATCTCACCCAAGGGTGTCCTTGAGCACTCAGGCTCCGTGGGTCTGGCCCTCTTCGTCTGGGTCCTGGGTGGGGGCGTGACAGCTCTGGGCTCTCTCTGCTATGCAGAGCTGGGAGTTGCCATCCCCAAGTCCGGCGGGGACTACGCCTACGTCACAGAGATCTTCGGGGGCCTGGCTGGGTGAGTGTGGGGCTCTGGTGGGGTCGGGGACAATTTCTCTGAAATAGGACAGCTCTCGAACCCTGGGCCTCAGTCTCCTCTTCTACTTCCCATATTACAGGAAAGTGGATGGAAAGAAGGGGCGGGGGTGTCTGGTAGCCTTCTGAGACCAAGGTGGGGACACCTATGCTTACCCCACTCCATGGGTATCTGCTGACCCCTTGACCTCTCTGTGTCTCCTTTTAAATAGAGATTCCTCAAAGCCCCACTGCTTAGGAGGGAGGAACCCTTTACTATCTGAAACCTTTAGACGATGCTGTACCCAGGCAAGGAGGGCTTTGATTTTAGTAAATCCATCTGCTCCATGAGGAGAGGGAGGAGCATGATATCCTCCTCCTCCCAGACCCTGTCACGGGTCCCCCTCACACAGCTTCCTGACATTCTTTATTCATCCATGAACATTTGCTGAGCACCTGCTTTGAGTTAAGGGCTGGGGATGCTGCAATAAAAAGTTCTGTTCGTGTCCTCAAATTGCTCACAAAGCAGAGACGAACAGCCCCTCAAATGTGACATGACCCAGAGGACCCTCGCTTCGAGGGTGTGGGCAAGAGGCAGCAGCCACCGAACAGAGAACAGGGTGCTTGCCAGGAAAATCCACATTTGCACCAAGTATAGAAAGAATATAGTTTTTTTCTCAGCTTCCTGGCCAGTGACGAGGGCATTTGGTGGGAGCAAGCACAGAGGGCATGGTGCCTGGCCAGTGCAGTCTGCTGTAGCTAGCTAGAGGTAAGATCAGATCCCTGACAGGCACCAGGGCTTGAAGAAGATGGGGATTTGGAGTTGTTGCAATTGTCCAGAGTCCTGCCAAGGGCCTTAAAGGTACAGGCAGATACAAAAATCATTTAGGAGCCTAATTCAGGACTGGTAAGGTTAGGTGGATACAGCAGGTTGATATCCATTGTCCCACCTGAGAGGCTTCATAGATGGTGGTCCCTGGGATGGGGATGGGAGATCGGTGTGGAGATTCTCAAGTTGCAGTGGTGTGTGTGGCATGTGCAGGGGGGTCAGGTCTTGGATGGAGGATCCAGGCTGAAGTTACAAAGTTTGATTCTGAATGACTTGGGCCAGAAGTTCTGAACTTGGCAACTCTGCATGAAGCCCTGGCAGGGCATGCACACCCCTATGGATGTCTGTGGCTGTTCATCTTACAGGGAGAAGGTTCTCAAAGGGGCTGGGACTCAAAGAAGTAGAAGAATCATGCTGTGGCCCTGGAGAGAACACTGAGAGAGAAAAGGGTCAGGACCCACAGTCACCCAGCATGGAGGAGAGTTTAGAGGGGACATCCAGCAAGGAAGGACTATCAAGCTAGAATGTCCCAGAAGCCGAGGAGGGAGGGCTGTACAAAGAAAGGGTAGGAGGCTTAGTGACCCAGGAGTTCTGGTATTCCTGATAAGGTACTCCCCATCCTCAAGGGCAGACCAGGACCTAGGACCTAGGACCTAGGACACAAAGGCAGACCTTCCCAAGGGTGCAGGCAAAGACCCTGGGAACAGAGCCCCCAGCCCACCATGCGCCCCCTGCAGAGGTAAGATTCTAGTAAAAGAGACATAAATCATGATTCCCACTACCAGCCCCCCCCCACACACACAGGCAGGGCCCCTTTCAGGGTCCACTTCCCACAGACCAAAGGTCCTGGAGATGCTTGTGCCACCCTGGCCTCTGCTCCTTCCAGATTCCTGCTGCTCTGGAGTGCTGTCCTCATCATGTACCCCACCAGCCTGGCTGTCATCTCCATGACCTTCTCCAACTACGTGCTGCAACCTGTGTTCCCCAACTGCATCCCCCCAGCTACGGCCTCTCGCGTGCTCTCCATGGCCTGCCTGAGTGAGTGGCCCCCTGATGAGCCTCTGTCCCCAGAGCAGCTGACTGCCCCATACCCCATACTGCTCTCTGCTCTGGGTGCAGGGACAGACAGATGGGATCCCCCAGCTGTCAGCTCCCTCCAGTGTCATCTTGAGAACCATGTTCTTGCATTCTGGCTGCTGCCTGGGCTGGACCTGCCTGTGGTCCACATTGAGCCACAGGTCCTCCCTGCTTCCCTCCCCAGTGCTCCTGACATGGGTGAATGGCTCCAGTGTACGCTGGGCCACGCGCATCCAGGACATCTTCACGGGTGGGAAGCTGCTGGCCCTGTCCCTCATCATTGGCATTGGCTTTGTCCAGATCTTCCAAGGTAGGGCCAGGGTGTGGGTGTGGGCAGGGATGGGGGGGACCATGCTGATCCCTGATGTCTGGACCCCCAGGACATTTCGAGGAACTGAGGCCCAGCAATGCCTTCACCTTCTGGATGACGCCCTCTGTGGGTCACCTGGCCCTGGCCTTTCTCCAGGGCTCCTTTGCCTTCAGCGGCTGGAACTTCCTCAACTATGTCACCGAGGAGCTGGTTGACCCTCGAAAGTGAGTGAGGCATCTGGCCAGCTAATGGGAGGGGTAGGTCCAGCTAATGGGAGAAGCAGCCTGTCTGCACAGATCCGCTGTTACCTGTGGCTCGGACTGGTCATCTGCTGCCCCGTAGGAACAGTCCTGGAAAGAAAGCCAGGACACTGTGTTCTAGCCTGGTCCCATTCTGTGTGGCTGTGGATGCATCAGAGCCCCTTGCTGGGCTTCAGAAAGACAGAGTATCATCGTCCTGCTTTAAATAGATCCAGTGATTTGCATTTGGCCCAAAATTATACATATGCACACAACATGGTGCCTACAAATGAAGCCAATGACTCTATTTGATACTCAGCCAGGGATCTTTGGGCTGAGACAAATAGAGAATCCCCGGGGGGACCCTAGACCTGCAGACTGGGCTTTAGGGGAACTCACAGGATTGTCCAGGCAAATATTGGCTGTATTCAGTTTTCTCCTTATGTGCAAATGTTAGAGAGACCCCACCCTCAGGATAGACATGGCTTCCTCTTTCGTCTGCTCTTTCTCCTCCCAGCCTGTGGTCAGAGAGGAGTGGAAGGAAAGGTAGACAGCAATGTCCCAAATTACAGTACTGTACCCACTCCTGCCCCAACACCCCCAGTGGACCCAGGAGATGAGACTTAATGCTGCTTCTGTTGCTGGGTCCCTTGGCCCCTCCCTGGGCCCCAGATGTCCCCCACCAGGGACTGACACTGACTCCCTCCTCTGATGCCTCCAGGAACCTACCTCGTGCCATCTTTATCTCTATCCCTCTGGTGACCTTCGTGTACACATTCACCAACGTTGCCTACTTCACCGCCATGTCACCCCAAGAGCTGCTGTCTTCTAACGCAGTGGCTGTGGTGAGTGGGGGCACCTGCCTGATCCCCAGCCCTGCCCCACCCTACCCCAGCCTCATGTGCTGCCTCTCTTCTGTGCCCACTCAGACCTTCGGGGAGAAGCTGCTGGGCTACTTTTCATGGGTCATGCCCGTCTCCGTGGCTCTTTCCACTTTTGGAGGGATCAATGGCTACCTGTTCACCTCCTCCAGGTGACTAGGCTGGGGAGGGGGTTGTCATGGTGAGGCAAGGCACGTGCCTTGATGTCTGTGAACCGTGCTGGGGACTACTGGAAAGGAAAGCTGAGATGATGACCTGCCAGTAACAAATGTGTGATCCCAACCCTAAGGTAAAGCCAGCAAGAAAGAAGCAGGCTAGCTGAGGGTGAGAGCTGCCCTGTGGGGGCTGCTAGGGCCTGAAGTGGGTCAGAGGTGACAGCTTGAGGTCCAGAGCTGAGATCCGGGATCTAGCTGGTAGGAAGGTGCTGAGGCTGGGCTCACGGCCCCTACCCATTCTGTTCCCACCCCCAGGCTGTGCTTCTCTGGAGCCCGAGAGGGGCACTTGCCCAGCCTGCTAGCAATGATCCATGTCAGACACTGCACCCCTATCCCTGCCCTCCTTGTCTGTGTAAGTTGGGGGACCCAGGCCAGGCAGCATGTGGAGCCAGGGCCACCCAGCAATGGGGGATTTCTGGACAATGCCAGGGATGGCCGTGGTGGACAGCCCATGGAGAATGGGGATGGGGTGGGGATTCATGCCACCTCCGGGCCAGAATGGGAGAGGCCAGGGCTGCCGGGGAGGGCAGAAGGCAGGTGGGAGGCCAGCTGTCAGCCTCAGGTCCTCTCCCAGTGCGGGGCCACCGCGGTGATCATGCTTGTGGGAGACACGTACACACTCATCAACTACGTGTCCTTCATCAACTACCTCTGCTACGGCATCACCATCCTGGGCCTGCTTGTTCTGCGCTGGAGGCGGCCAGCACTCCACAGGCCCATCAAGGTGAGGCCCAGGAGAGAAAAGGTAGGCTGATATGCCAGAAACTGTCAGGGCCATCCTTTCGTCTGAGCTGGGCACCAGGGACAGGGCCAATGACTACAGTGACAGTGACTACACCTTTTGCAGAAGGCTGGGTTTCTAAGCACTGATATATTTGCTCCTCATAATGACCCCACGAGGGGAGTGCTTTGAATACTCCAAGTCTACAGATAGAGAAAATGAGGCTAAGGAACTTACTCAAGGTCACACAGCATCCGCCATCCCACGTGAAAGCAAAAGACAGTAAACCAAGCTAAAAGTAAAAGCCCCCCATTTGCACACAAAGCAAAGTGGAGAAGTGCTCAGTGCCTGAAATGTGAAACCCCCCAAAATAGCTGAACTCCAGCCAAGTGCAAGCAAAAAAAAAAAAATCCACACACAACAGCTGTGTTGAGGTCAAAAAGTGACCAAGGCTCAACAGTTTGGTTAACTGGTCAACCCATGTATTGGCTTCTAGCACAAGGGGCTGCTGGCCAGAAGGGGGACCTCTCAGGCCCCAGCTCCCAGGACAGGAAAGAAAGCCTCAGACCCCGGGGGTTGGGTGTAGGGCAGGAGAGACACCGGGGATCTTGCACCATCTGCAGTCTCGTCCGTCCTTCCGCAGGTGAACCTGCTGGTCCCGGTGGCGTACCTGGTATTCTGGGCATTCCTGCTGGTCTTCAGCTTCATCTCAGAGCCCATGGTCTGTGGGGTTGGCGTCATCATCATCCTCACAGGGGTGCCCATTTTCTTCCTGGGAGTGTTCTGGAGGAGGAAACCAAAGTGTGTACACAGACTCACAGGTGAGCCGCCGGCCTTGCTGAGTGTCCAGGGCTTGGAGAGGGGACCCTCTTGGGATCCCGATTCAGAACAGGGTCTCCCAGACGCTCATCTGGTAACAGAGGGTCCAGCCCCTTCCACATGTCTCCCCAAGATGTGGCCGAAGAGGGAAAAGCGCCCCGAAGACCCCTGCCCAGGGGAGGTGTCCAGAGGTGGGGTCACCCCTGTCCCAAAGGATCAGATCCCAAGGTCCATCTGCCCCTCTGTCTGTCCTCAGAGTCCATGACACGCTGGGGCCAGGAGTTGTGTTTCGTGGTTTACCCCCAGTGCTCCCCCGAGGAGGAGGAGGAAAATGGCCCCTACCAGACCTTCCCACTGCCGGCCACGGACAAGCCCTTAAAGACACAATGAGACATTTGTAGAGACTGAAGCAGCTGTTTCTGTTTACATGTTGTTTATTGAGGAGGTGTTTTTGCAAAAACTTTTTTTTTTTCTGGAAAGAAGAGATATGACTCTTAGAGGCCTATCGTAAGGAAGCCCAGACAAGGTGGACGGGGTTTCCTGTCTTAGCACTGCCCTGCTAGCTTTTTCTGAAAAGGCCTACAAATAAACAGGGCTGGTTGTTCGCTTGTGCTCAGGGGAGTCCCTGGTGGACCCTGATGGGGGCAGGTGGTGGCATACCTCACTGGGAGGCACGCACATTGCTAGTTGGGAAGATGCCATGGCAGACCCTGGAGGAGATGCCACTGAGGAGGCTCTTAGTATCTGAGGGTCTTGACGCTTGACCTAGGGCTGGCTCAGTGAAGCCCAGAACCAACCTGCCCAAGAGGGACAGTGAGGGAAAGCTGCTCCATCTGCCCCTTCCCTGGGTCACTCCATGCCAACCTCAGGGGAGCCCAGGGATTCCTGGTCAGGATCATCTTTCTTCTCATAAGTCACCAGAGTGAATGTCATGACTTGAGTGCACACAGCCTCACCTTGGTCTACAGGTGGGGAAACTGAGACCCTGAGACAGGATGGGATGGATTTGGCTACTATCCCTTGGTGCCTCAGCTTCTGTCCCCTGAGAAAGTACAGAGCAGGATGTCCTGGGAATCTCAGGGCTTGCAAAAGGTCTCATGGCCCTCAACCTCATACCAACATTTCCAGCCCTGCCATAGTCCCCTGGAGGTTGACCCCTCGGTCAGATCACAAATGGCAAAGGGCACCAGCCTGGCCAGGCCCAAGATGGCTTCATGGAGCAGAACCACCTCGCCCAGCTCCTCGGGGGGCCCTGCTAGGAAGGATGGGAAGAGGGCTCAGTGTGGACAGAGCCCTCACCACTGGTGAAGCCCAATACCCCCAGGGCCCCTTTCAGACCTATTACTATAGCTTCTGGCACAGCTCTGGGAGTAGCTGGTGCCACCATAGGGGGAATGAAGCAAGAAGCCACACAAAACACACCCCAGAGAGCCCTGCCCTGGCCTCCCTGACTCTGTGGAAATGGATTCCCAGGTTTGAACTGGAGTGGAGGAATCGGTAGAAGTGAGACCCCAAGGTGCTTATGTGTGCTGGGACCCCAAAGATAGGCTCGTCACTCCACCCTCTTTCCCCAAGCCAACCCCCAGCCCCTCTCTGCCATGCCCACCCAAGTTGATGCAGGCTGCTGGCTCAGGGCCCAGACCCTCCAATGGGGCTGCTGGTGGGCCTTTCGCTCTGCAAGAAAGGACGCGGAGGCAGGGTAGAAATGACTGTGTATTCCCTGGTTACAAAGCGGGGCTATGGCGGTCACCAGCGTGTGTTGTGGGTCAGCAGACCAGCAGAGCCTCATCGTCACTGGCCTCCAGTGTTGGGGAGCAGGGTGGTGGGGAGCTCCTGCAGACCTCCAGTGGCTCTGGGGAGTGGGGGTCTGAGGTGCTGCTGGCAGTGGGAGCCTGGGGGTAAGGGTCCTGGGCCAAGCAGGGCTCAGGAATTGTGTCCGGAGGGGCCGGGCTATCCACCAGAGGTTCCCTACAGGCCTTTCTGTCCTTGTTCACAGGCCCATACTCTGGGTCTCGCAGGCCGGAGGGCGGGGGTGACACTGAAGTTCCCACCTCTGGTGCATGGCCAGGGGCACTGGGAGGTCCATCCCCAGCTGCTCTGGGGCTGCCTGTGTCTGTGTGGGATGCTGGGGGATCCGGGACAGCCCCAGGTGCAGGCTGGAGGAGCCCGTCTCCCAGCACCGTCTGTGATGTGCGTGCAGCAGTCAGCAGTGGAATCTGGCCCCGAGGTGCCCGTGGCCGGTGAAAAAGCCGGTTCCAGAGGCGGCCCAGACGGCGGCGGGAGGGGCCCCGGCGGGAGGCGTGCCGGCGCATCTGTCTCCGCATGGCTGTGCGAAGGTTCTGTAGCACCGAGGCCTAGAGGGTGGGGCAGCAGCTAAGGGAGTGGCCACTTAGGGGCAGAGGTCAGCACACCCCCAAGGAACCCAAGACCAACTTGCACCCCCTCTACCTGGCTGGGGTCTCCTTAGGTCACCTAGCCCAGGTCTCACCTCCCCCTTCTGTGACCCCTGGACCAGGCTGTCCCACACGCTGTCCTTCCTGGCCCTTTGTCCTCTGGTCTTGGGTCACGCCTGCTGAGGCTCACCTGGGATGCACTGTAGACAGGAAAATCCTCCACGGGTGGGATGAGACCCTGTGCAATGAGCTGACCGTAGGATGGGGGTGCCTCCCGCCGCACAAACTCGGCCTCTAAGCGCGTCATCTGGGTCTCGAAGGCCCTGAAAGCAGTGGACAGAAGGGAAGTATGGCAGGGCTGGCCAACTTCCTGGTGGTCCCCAACAGGACTCAGGGACTCTGCCCCTCCATCTGGAAAATGTGCTGCCCAGACCCAGCAGTGCCCACCGGGAAGGCCTGAGCCTCCTTGGGCAAACCCACAGCTGCATGCATGGTGAGCAGGGAAACCAAGGGCCCCAGCCACGGAGGGGCACCCACCTGTACTCCTGCGTGCGCAGTGAGTAGAGCTTGAACGCGCAGCCCAGGGCGATGACAAGCAGCAGGCCACACACCAGGCTGCCGATGAGGGCAGCGGTGATGACCTTGCGGGGCACAGCGGCCAGGCAGCCGTGCTCATCGCTGCCGTCCTGGCAGTCCTCCTGGCCGTCACACCGCCACGTCTCAAAAATGCACAGGTTGGTCCCACAGTGGAAGGTGCCGGGCTGGCAGGAGAAGCAGTTCTTCTCGTCAGCGCCATCTGGGCAGCTTTTCTGGTTGTTGCAGCGGTCAGCAGGTGCATAGCAGAGGCCACTGCCACCCTCGCAGGGGTATTGGTCGGGTGGGCAGGCGGGGCAGCCCTGCTCATCCCGGCCGCTGGCACAGTGCCACCAGCCATCACAGCGCTGTGGCTCTGAGAAGCAACCCTGGTCTCCGGTGCCACTGTCATCCCCCTCGCTGCTGCTCCCGCACGGCTGCTCCCACGGGAGGCAGTAGCCCTTCACCTGGTAGGTGGCATTGAAGCCATGGCCGGCGCTGCGGGCGCGGGCATGGTAGGCCACAGTGAGGCGGCCCTGCGCGGCCTCGAGGCTCACCGGCCGGTGGTTGCTGCGGTAAGACAGCGTCTGCAGCAGGCGGTCCCCGCGCTCGCCCAGGCCCTCATACACCTGCACATAGTCGTCGTAACCCAGCCGCAGCTCCAGCTGCAGCAGCACACGGCGAGGGTCCTGTGTGTCCACCAGCCACGTGCAGTGAAGGTCCGAGGGCCCGCGGGCCGCACCAAACAGGTCTGGGGAGGCGAAGGAGCCGTAGAAGCTGCCCAGCCGCCGACCGCATGCCAGGTCCGGGCAGCCAGCCTCATCAGAACCGTCGCCGCAGTCCTGTGTGCCGTCGCAGCGCCGCTCCACAGGCAGGCAGCGCGTGGACCGTGCCCCACTGCAGGGAAAGGTGCCCCCAGGGCACAGGCTGCCTGGAGGCTCAGAGGCAGGGGCAGAGCAGTTGCCCTCATCAGAGCCATCTCCACACTCATCCACAGTGTTGCACTGCCACGGGCCCGGAAGGCACTTGCCGTTGTCACAGCGGAATTCATCTGGCTGGCAGGACACCTGGCCCAACTTCCCTATAGGCAAGGAGGTAGCAGGAGGCAGTTAGGGGAGAGCAGAGCCCCCCTCCAGCATGGGGGCTTGGGGCCAAGAGTGGACAGGAGCACCCCCCAATGCAGCTGGGGCCAGGAAGGGCCAGGCCACTGGGATTCCTAAGTGGGCTCATTCTCTGACCCGACCTTGGGCTGAGGGGCCAAGTCTGTGAAGTGGGGTCAGTGACCTGGAGAGGTTCTGGTGCAGCAGCTTAACAGTCCCACCCACATCCTAAGATGGACAGGGCTGGTCAGAGTGAACCCTGCAAGGAGTAGAGGGCACTGCCCCAACCCAGGAGCCAAACACTGAGCATTCCATGCTGTCCCCACCCTGATCTCTGGTTGGCATCACCTCTGATGTAGGAGAGGCGGAAGCCCTGGGCTTGGCCAGAGCTAGAAGCATCTGAGTGGAAGAAGATCCAGACATGGTCCCGGGCAGAGATGAAGGCCGGCGGGATGGCAGAGCCGCAGAGCCGGAAGGCCTCTTGTCGAGGCGGGGCCGCTGGACCCAGCAGGAGCCAGTCCAGGGAGCACTGATGGGACTCCTCCACATCAAAGTTGCGGAAACTACAGGGACAGACAGAACCACAGAAATGGGTGGGGCAGGCAGAGATGGCATGGACTGGCAGAGTGGTCAGGCCAGAACTCACAGCAACAATGGCCAGCCTGCCCCACCCACTACCCCTGCCCTCTGTCTCCCAAACTGCCTACTCTTCCACTCTTAGTCCTGTCCCCACCTAGAGGTCCAAAGAATCATGAATGACATCGGTGGACAGCATCGGTCACACTCAACTTGGTTGCAGCTCCCTGTCTTCCTCCATCACACACACAGCACCCCAGCCCAAAGCCACAGTGGGAGGGTCAGGAGCCACCTAGACACTTTCCCCTGAAGGGTGGAGGCAGAAGGGCCCCCATCCCTCCCAGACCTGGTCAACTGGAACAGACCCAGCACAAACTCCCAGAGACAGGCACTGAAGATAAGGCTGTGCCCACAGGGCCAGTGCTGCAGCTGGGTGACAGCTAATCACCTAGGGAGGAACCCTGGCACTGGAGCCATGGTCTGTGGTCATAGGGAAACTGAGGCACAGAAACCAAGATAGCCCCTGTTCAAGGCCTTCACATCCCTGTCTTTGGGAGCTGTGGAGTAACTGGGCCCTGGGCAGCGGGGTGCCAGGGGTGTCTGGACTTTGGCATTTAGGAGAACAACAGCAGATGGAACCCACAGTAACCCCCTAACTAAATGTCCCCATGGCCATCTCAAGCCAGGCCTTCCAGCTCCTCAGTGCCGCTATCTGTTCCCACCCCTCGTTTCCTTCTGCACATCTCTGCAGCTCAAGGGCACAGCTCCTGCCTGGTTCCCTTCCCTGCTGAGACCACCGCAGGCCCCTTGGGAAAACTGTGATCTGGGCTCTGTGCCAGCCTGGCCTCAAGCCACCCCTGCAGGACAGGGGATAGCTCTGCTACCTCAGAGGCAGTCAGATCAGGCCACCAGTTCCCAGGGCTCAGGACAAGAGACCTGGCTTGGAACACCCAGTCACAGAGGCCCAGGGAACTGGGCATGCTCACATGCTCATGTGCATTCACATAGGCGCACACATGGTCACACGTGCCCTCTCAGACACCTCATGCATGCGCTCCCTGCATCTACAGACATGGGCTCATGCATGTGCATGTGCTCACACACAGGTCCTTGATGCCTGCTCAGGAATGGGCTTGTGCAAGTCCACAAACGCATGTGCACACTCACGCATCTGTCCATATGCTCCCCCAGCATGTAAGGTCCCACACTGACTGCCCCCAACACCTTCAAGGTCCTCCTACCTGATGGTAATCATGTCCCCACGGTCGCCTTGGATGTACCAGCTGCAGTTGGTGCCTGGTGGGTAGTTGAGGGGCCAGGCAGGGCTGTAGATGACACCGCGCCGTTCTGTGTGCTGCTCCAGCTTCCCACTGCAGGCAGCTGTCAGGAGAGGAGGCTGAGAAGTGCCCACCCCACATCTGGGTGGAGAGTGGGTCAGGGGTGTGCTTGAGCGCAGGTCTTTCCCGTGGTGCCATCAAGTGCAGCTAAGGGTAGCCAGGCCATGGCCGGCCATGAGCTCAAGACTTCATAGAAGTAGTGAGGGTGGGGGAGGTCCAGGAAGGTTCTCCTGGACTTGGGGCAG